TTTAGATAGAACTGAGTTAGGTCCAGCTTTTTCTTATGTAGGGGTAGATGTTTTTGGTCCTTGGCAGGTTGTTGCACGTAAGACTCGAAGTTCTCAAGCGAGCGTTAAACGTTGGGCTGTACTCTTTACATGTCTTACTATTAGAGCAGTGCACATAGAAGTAGTGGATGAAATGACTTCTTCTGCATTTATTAATGCACTAAGACGGTTCATTGCAATTCGAGGACCCGTAAAGATTTTCAGGTCTGACCGTGGTACAAGTTTTGTAGGTTCTACTGATAATATAGGTGTTGATGTCATTAATGTAGAGGATGGTCAGATCAAGGGGTTCTTCAACAGGTCAGGGTCTCAGTGGATTTTCAACGCCCCACATAGTTCACACATGGGAGGGGTCTGGGAAAGAATGATTGGGATATCAAGACGCATTTTAGAATCTATGCTGTGCAATGTTCATAATCTCACACATGATGTACTTGCTCCCTCAAAGGCTGGGGTTATTTCCCCAAAATTTAACCCCGACCAATTTTTACCTGTTTCTACTGGCCCCGGGACGGGCCCTCATTTTGTTTGACCCTTCAAAATTTTTAAACATAAAAGTTAAAAAGACTGATCAACAACCTGTTGATAACCAATCCTTTAAGAATCTTTACAAGGATCAGTGGAAACGTGTCCAATTTTTAGCAAAAATCATTTTTTTGGGTACTTTAAAAAAAGGGAATTTTCTTCAATTTTACAAAGAAGGCCCAAAGGGGGAAAAAAACCCTTCTTCCCCCCATTTAAGCTCAATGATGTTGTTTTTTAACAAAGATAATGAATTTTAGTTCGCAATAATTCCCTTTTAGGTGGGGTTTAAACAAATTTTTCCCCGGGCTGATGGAAAATTCGCAAAGTTGAGATTTGTGTTCTCAAAAATGGAAAAAAGGCATTTTACATTCGGCCTATTGTTGATATTGTGTTGTTAGTGAGATATTGACATTTATATGAAAAAGTATTTCTGTATACTGTTGAAAATTGTTAAAAGATTTAATGACATTTGTGTAAAAGATTTTGAAGTTATTTTGTTTCTAACTGAATTAAGTAATTGTCAGTTGTGGTGTGACGCAGTAATAGTATTATTTGATTTCGTGCATAGTAATATTATATCCTTAAGTAATTGTAAGAATTGTTATTTTTGGCTACATAATATTTTTAGGAATACGCATCAATTGGAGCTTAAAATTTAACATACTCTGTTATATTTGTCGCTTTGTTATTTCATAGCAGAGTTCATGTTTTGACTTGTATCCTTACCAAGTGTATATATTTGACGCGAAAATAATCAGCTTTTTGTTAAAGTGATTTATTTTGTATTTTTTTTATAGAATTAAAAACATGTCTATTTTTGAACTGTGTAAGGATTTATCTGAGGGCCCCAGATATTTTTATGTACAGGACATTTATAGACTTTGTTATATTTTCACTTACTTATTTAGAATTTGTTTGAGAAGAAGTAAAAGTAGTGATATCCTTCCTTAGATATCAGATGGGGAGTGTCATGCCTACCCCAGCGCGAAGCCTATTTGTTCTTTTTGGAGTTTTATACTTTCTGTTAATTAAGATTCTTGTCGGTAGTTTTGTCTCGTGTGTCAGCCATGTTTGGAGCAGCATTTTCATCTACGTAAACCTTGCGAACTTGTTTTTCATGCAATTAACACTTTATAAGGTTGCATAGTGTAAGTTAATATGGTTTTTATTGACAACCAGTATTGTTTGTTACATAGACAGTAATAAATCCATTTGGGAAAGCCCTTCTGGCCTTTCGCTATTGAAATAAGATTCGTACTCGAAACCATTCGTACCATGTTTATTGCATTTAGTATGTTACTTTTTGTAATGATATTAATAGTATGAATATTTTAACTATTAAATAAGTTCACTGTATTGTTTTAACTTGAATACCAACTTCATACATGATTTTTCTGAAAAATAATTGTGCAGAGCTTATGCAGTAAGACTTATGTTTGTTATTTTTGTATTTTGCAGTATTTACCGCTAAAAGATTGAGGAATAAAAGAGCAATAATTACAAAAGGACTATCTTTATTTCTTCAATTGAATGGTTAATCTTTGCCGTTTCCCTTATCATTGGGTCCGGTACATAAACACACCAAGAATCCTAAGATATCAAATCATTTTGTATGAGACAAGGTAAGTAAATGGCATACAAATATAAATGGATGGAAAGACAAACCTGCAAATATATGCTCTATGAAAAAGTATCTGGGCGCATAAATCATTTTATCATGCTTGCCTCCAAATGTATATCTAAAATATTTCAAAACTGACTTTTTATAAGTCAGCTTGAGAGTTTCCTCATATGAAAAAAATCCCTGCCTGACATGGTTAAAAGTACATAGCAGTGAGGGATAAGTGATAAACAAAAACAAGAAATCACATCACCTTAGTGCAGCAACTGGTTAACTCCTATTAATTTGTATTAGAAGTTATCATGTTACTGCACTAAGGTGACAAAATGTAATTTGGAGGCAAGCTGAATACATTAAACCAAATATTATAGCATCTAGTCAAACATGTTATTGTTTTATTCAACACCGCAAAAATGGCAATCACTCTATGTTATAGTTAATCTGTTTATGAGCTTATGAGGATATCCCACATGAAACTATGAGGGAATTTTGTATCCCTCATGAATATGTAACGATGTCCCACATGAAATTATGAGAAAATTTTGTATCCTATATATTATGAGATTTTAATACCACACATGAGGTTATGAGGATATTCCACATAGGATTTTGGGGGAAGTTTGTATCCCAGATGAAATTATGAGGTAACTTCATATCCCACATACAATTATTAGTAAACTTTATATCCCACATGAAATTATGAGATTTTAATATCCTACTTGAGGTTTTATGAGGAATGTAAAATCACACATAAGAATATGAGTAAACTTTATATCTCATGTAAGATTATGGGAGAAACTTATATCCAACATGAGATAATGAAAGAAACTTGCATGAGATTGAGTTAACTTCATATCACACACAAAATTATGAGAGGAACTCACATATCTCATATGGAATTATGAGGTAACTTTATATCCCACACAAGATTATGAAAATAATTTATATCTCACAGAATATTATGAGAGAAACTCACATATCCCACACAATATTATGAGAGAAACTCACATATCCCACACGATATTATGAGAGAAACTCACATAATATTATCTCACATGAAATTATGAGGTAACGTTATATCCCACACAAGATTATGAGAGAAACTTACATCTCAAATGAGATTTATTGTGAGAGAAACATTATAACCCAAAATGATATTATGAGGTCAGAAAAAGCAAAAATCAAACACTACAGGTAAACCCCTGGGAGTATTCTATCCCCTGGTTTTTTATCTAACTGCAGGAAGTTATACAAGAACATATAGCATGCAACCATGTTCACAACTCCAGCTTACCTTTAATCTTCTATATCTCTCACGACCCTTTATAAGTTAATATAATTCATTAATTATCATATGTAAACTTATATATATAATTCATAACCATTTGAGGCTTTTATACACATCTTTGAGACTGATACATATATCATGTGCCATATAAGTGAATAGTTACAATCAGATACACTTTGATCATTTATTAACCATATAAACATTTGCTGGAGTAATATAATCATTTTCTGAAACCATATAATACATTGTAATTTTGCGAAGGGTAAATTCATGGCTCACAGTTAAGAATTGAACACACACTACCCCCACGGCACCCTCACCACCCCAAATCCTGGATTTTACAACTTTGTTTTTACAGGTATGTACACAAAATGTCAACAATTGAGATTTTAAATGGCTGAAAGTTTTCTTGACCATTTGGGACTTTTCAAAGTTCTGAATGTCACCTCTTTGTGAACTACTATCAACCATCAGAGTTGGCATTTAAGTGGGAATTCAAGTAGTATTTCCAAAGATACTGGGAAATGCAGGGAATTCCTGAGAATGTACAGGAAATAGTCAAACTCTGTATCTGTTGTGGAGCTAAGTTGCGATTTGTGAAGAGGCAGTAAACTCCCTTTAACTTGAAACTACATCAGTTGGTAGCAATGTTTGCCTCTATTAACTTTAATTTTTACGATTGCCTGCCTGGCGTTTAGAGAAATAAAACTAGTACTGTTGTTGCATACTTCACTTGAAGTCAGGAGGAAATTAGACTGGTAAAATATAAGTACCAAAAGATAATTGTGATTACAAATTGCTGTTTTGAAATATGTTTTGTTTCTCCTTCATGCTTTGAACTTGACTGGTTACCTTTATGATAAATACATCTTACAATAAAGATTATTAAAGCGTTGTGTTGGAAATGTTGTGTTCAGTCGAACTTGTGCATCTGTACAGCTTGTTTACTAAACAAAGTGTCCTACTTGTACTTATTGTGTGTTTTAGGTATTCAATTGAACAATGAAGGTGTATAATTATTAATATATGCAAGTATTTCCCTTTATCCCATTTCAAAACCCCCTTAAAGGGAATATCCCGGAAGGGAATTTTTTTCCCCGTGTTGGGAAAACCTTGGCCCAAATCTGTGAACCAAAAGGGGGATCATAGGGGATTTTTAAAAAAAGGCCCTTAAAATCCCTTTTAAATTGAAAAAAACCAAAATCCAAATAATTATTAACTTGGGCAAACAATAAATTTAAAATTCCCTTTAAAAAATCATCATTTACGCCCCAAAAGTTTTTGTTTCTGGGAAAAATGTTTTACTAAAAGGTACATTTTTTATAATGTTTTACTGTTAAAAAAATTTACTTTTTTCTTTTTTTTTCCCGCTATAAATTTTTTCCCGGGAAAATTTAAATTTTTCCCCAAAAATAATATAAAAATTTTTTATAGGTTAAATGAAATTACAGTAGAATTCAACATTACATATAAAATCATATCAATATTACATATAATCCCCTTTTATTGCAGGGCAAAACAATTTACCTCCTCGATTTCTGTTTCAAGGTCACTGTCGACAGCCTTCAGCTTTTCTTTGTTCCGTCTTGACGGTGAAACTGAGCGTCTTTCTATTTGTGGTCTACAAGAAAAAAAGTTTATTTATATGCTTAATTTTTGACCCATTAGATGAATTTACTCATATCACAACCTTGCTGGCAATCAAAAATGAATTAAGGTATGCCAGTCTGCACACTAGTACAGCCTGACCAGGCTCTATACTGTTGGCAGCTCAATTTTTGTGTTCTGATACTAAGATGAAATATTCCTTAAATTCGAATGAAATATTCCTTAAGCAAAGCAAAATAAGGCATAATCATTATATAAATTCAGCATGTTTTTAACAATTTCTATAAATCAAAATGCTATAATTAAGCAACCCACAGTAAAGAGTCAGAACAGTTGGCTTGGCTCTTTTATTATAAGTTTGTAACACCCGAGGTTAGCCAAAATATTCTTTCCTGTTTCTGTGCCATATGATGGCACATAGTAAAACCAAACCAAACAAACAAATTGTAAAGCATTCCTATAAATGTTAAGCAGCCTTACAGCTAAGTCAGTAGCACAAGGTAACAGGGTCTAAGGTTTGAGCTCTAATCAAGCTGCACATTTCTCTCATCATCATTGCTACTATACAATTTTTTTTTTGTAGCTGGGTTTAACGTCGCACCAACACAGTAAAGGACATATTGTGGCTTTCCAGCTTTACTGGTAGAGGAAGTCAAGATGTCAGGTGAGTAACTATACATAAACATAAAAGCAAACATACGTGTTTCTTTTTGATGTGAGGGTTTCTAGACTTTCCAGCGCTTTATCACGTTCATTTTGTAACTGCTTTGCCCTCCTCATAGCTTGGTCGCGTTCCTCTAAAGCTTTAGCATTTTCTCGTAATACTGCATCTCGCTCCTTTAATGCCAACTCAAAGCCAAGTTGTAACGCCTGCGTAGGTTTCTTTTCATCTGAATCTAAATTCATAAATTAATATATTTTAAAGCAAGGTATAGGCCATTTTCCAACAGCCATTAGGGACATGGTTGAGTGTCCGTCTTGAAACCAAGAGGTTAAGGGTTCAAATCCTGGTCAGTGCCTGAGGATTTTTCAGGTCTACAATAGTTTTTACAAATAGAATTTTAAACTAAGGGTGTCGAATCATGATAACTGATTGTACAGCCACTTATACACATTAGCTAATCTTCATCAACTCTGAAAAAGCTTACTTGTTTAAAATGTGTAAAGACCACAGACCATATATACATGTTAGAATATTGAACAATAATCAGCTGGCTATTATAGTCCTATAATTATTTTGTTGCTTAGAGATATTTCAATTTCTTGGCTTGACAATCATAAACTGTAACATTGCCTGTAACATCTGATATATTGGACTACAAGCTTCTGGTATTGTTGTTGGTGGTGGTGGTAGTAGTTTTCACTCTGGATCACGCCTTTTCACAGCAGAAATTAAGCCTCATTGAATTTACCAGAGCATAGCAGGGCAGGCTGTCAAGCAGTAAACCAGTACTAGTTGTCTTCATACTTGCAATGAATTGATAGCAATAGTACATGCCTGAGTAGAGGTTTGCGAATGAACATAGAAAGGATTTCATGATCAATCCCAACAAAAGAGACCTTAAGCATCGTCCAGGAATAGAACTCTGATTGACCGACTCACAGTCAAATGCTCTACCTATTGATCTAACCGTAACAGTATTGTTATTTTGTACATATTGTACCTGGACTAGTGAATAGTCTATTCACAACACAGGTAGGTATGAATATTAAACATGAATCAGTAGGCTAGGGCCTATCAGTGTTATTATTTTATAAAGACCATAATATGAAAAATATACCTGGACTGGCATCTAATAAAAATCTTGTCAATAAATGCGGGGCACACTCTTCTAAAACAGCACAGAATTCATGAAAAAATCGTGAACCCTTTTCTGACAAAATGTCCATAAAAATTTCTCCTTTTTGTTTTTGATCGCCACATTCTAAAATAACTTCCTCTTCCTTTTTATTTAAAGCTCCTCTCTGTGTAAGTTTTGAAACAATACGATTGATGTCAATGTCTTTACTAAACGCTGTCTTATGTTTTTGTAATAGTCGACCAACTTTCGAAGTTTTGGTCGCCATTTTGATTGCAAGTTCGAAAGTATCAACAGGTGCTACTTTGATTTCCGTAATTAAATTAACAGTTTCAGAATGTCTTTTTGAAATATATTGGTTATAAATCACAAAATATTACTTATTTCACGTAAAGCAATTTAATCAATTAGTTTGTAAAACGGCTTATTTAAGAAAATGTCTGTTTTGTTTCCGACTGTTATAGTTTCCGTAAAATCCTTTAGGTGTTTCAAATTACTACGACGCTTAAAAAGCGACACCTGGTGTTTACTATTTTGAAAGTGAAAGCACGTTGATTTGTTTTCGTCACGTGAACATTCCAGGTGTGCAAACTTTAAAATGAAAGTGAAAGTAAAAACACGGCTGCAGTTGTGATTTGTTGCCATTTTATCAACAATAATACATTCTTCTGGTTATCCGCGAATCTAGACAAGTTTTAGCCTATTAAAATTCCTTCTTGGCAACAGTACTACTACAAGGCTAAAACAGAAAGATACACGTCAGTAGGCATGCACTGTTACACACCAAACAAATTTTTTTGTTCCTTGAGTACGAAAATTTCCTTATTGGTTAGAACCAGGAAAAATGTAAAATCGATGTTCAATAACGATAATTAATGTGTCAAGCATGCGCTTAAGGGTCAGTGCTAAATCCATTTCAAATATCGTTTTCATTCATAATTCTTTCATTCATTCATTATCATTCATCCATTCATTCAGTTCATATATATTTTTTCAAGAACCTGGTTTAGGCAGGTACGTATATTAATATACGTACCTGGTTTAGGTATGCCTAAGGTGAGAAGTGCATAAAAGTCTAAACAGTCCGTATTTATAACCCAGATATAGATACACAACTCGAAAAACACCATCTCGTGCACAACTGACCATTACCTTCAATACCGTAAACTATGTTCGTTTCGTGATGACAAGTTTATATTTCAAGCTATAATTTAAGTTACGAAACGCTGAAATTATTAAAACTAATATTTAGTCTATCAATCTATTTACATGTAGATAATAATTATCAGGTAATTTTGAAGACGTTTCCCAATTTCATAAAAAATTAAAATACTTTGAGGAAAATTTTGTAAATTCCGTTAAAACTGGCCTTTGTTGTTGTTGTTCAAAATGTCACAAGTTTGAAATAAATAAATGGAAATCTGTAATACACAAAGACAGCGATTCAACCCATTGTGTCTTTTCTTGAACATGTTTCAGGTGCACAAACTAGCTCTGTCGTAGACAACTGCTGCTGGTACATGTACAGAAACATAATTCTGAGGATGCTGACCACGACAGAAACGCTCTTAAAGTGGTTGAAACATTTGAAGCAAATATAGTCTTACAATTTTATTGACCTGTTAATTGTTAAAACATTATAGCATCCTTTTAAATATCCCATCCCACTTCGGTTTTGTCTGTGTAATCTACGAGAATTAATATGGAATAAGCTTATGTTTTTGAATTCACACTAGCCTAATGTTCATGTTTAAGTCATTACCACAGACGCAATAGCACAGCCGGTTAAGTGATACATTTATGTAAGAGAGATCTATAATTGTTTAAACCTTATTGTTGCCATTGTTTTTTCTCTTTCTTTATTTTTCCAGAATGTTTAAATGGAAATGGCAGAGTATGGTGGCCGGTAGCGCCAATTTTAAAGCCGCGAGAAATTTTGCTGCCAGTTTATAACATCTCGCGGGCAATTTTTTAATCAACACAATTTTATGTCGAAATTGTATAAATTGTCGCGGCTTATATAAACTCTCGAGTTTTTCTGCCACACTTCTAGTTTTATGAAGAAATCCGCGACGTTTCCTGTCTATATAGTAGACTAAGCCACACAAATATATGCCTACTTTAGGTCGATATTTTGTTTTGATGCATACTTTGTAAAAATCGAGTTTGAGCACTAAACTCGCAAAAAGTCGCGGCTGAATATTGCTATTACTCGCCACGATATTTTATGAGACAGTAACTATTTTTCAGGAACAAAAAGTCGCTGCTTAGAGTTTTTCCCCTAGACTTTTGTAGAATTTCTAAAACATTTGCAAAAAAAATACTTTCTGCATGTTCCTCGACTTTTTATAGACAAACGAGAGTCAAACCATGGACGGTACCGGCCACTGAAGTCAAAATGTTCCTTGCTGTTTCCAACAGCTATTATAAAATATCAGGTGTATACGTTCCCAGCAACTTTGTGTACGATTTTGGTAGAAAATCTGGCGGGTCAGTAAGTTGCTTGCGGCATTTTATGATAAAACGATACAATTTCTCGCTGGTTTGAAATGGCCGCAATCGGCCACCATAGCAGAGTGCTTGCAAAAATGTAAACGCGGATGTGAAGGAACTTGGAATAATTGTTTTGTCTCGTTTCGTTTTTGCATTTAACCTAATTAAAATTACATTTATTGATTTTAATCTGACTGAATATTAGATATTAAGTCTAAAACTATGTTATTGTTGTTTAAATAGGTTTTGCACTTATTTTGGTAAAGTCTTTTTTATATAAATTTTGAATTTAAATTAAATATACTGCTGGCTTAACAAACTTTAAGATTGTATCTTGATTTCCCTGAATTGATAATGGATAGTTCCAAAAATGGACGCTGGAAAGTTCATTTACGAAAGGTTGTTGATCTGATCATACTCTTTATTTAAGTACTGGTAAAATCTAGTAAAAATCTAAACAGTACTGGTAAAATCTTGTGAAAATGTAAAGAGTACTGGTGAAATCTAGTAAAAATTTAAAGAGTACTGGTAAATTCGTGTAAAAATCTAAGGGTACGGGTAAAGTCTTGTAAAAATCTAAAAAGTACTTGTAAAGTCTTGTAAAACTCTAAAGAGTACTGGTAAAGTCTTGTAAAAATCTAAAAAATACTGGTAAAATCTTGTGAAAATGTAAAGAGTAGGCCTACTGGTGAAATCTAGTAAAGATCTAAAGGGTAGTGGTAAAGTCTTGTAAAAATCTAAAGAGTACGGGTAAAGTCTTGTAAAAATCTAAAGAGTACGGGTAAAGTCTTGTAAAAATCTAAAGAGTACTGGTAAATTCGTGTAAAAATCTAAAGAGTACTGTTAAAATATTGTAAAAATCTAAACAGTACTGGTAAAATCGTGTAAAAATCTAAAGAGTATTCTATATTGGTGCTTGCAAATGAATCGTTGCAGCCTTTAGAAGTCAAAGATCTGAGTCTGTCCATAAAGTCAAGCGGCCATGATCAGCCCAAGTTTTTAAATTATCCATATGTAATTGACATTAAAGTTTTAATGTGTCGGTCATTGCATTGATTAAAAGATGCAGACGTAAAGAAGTAGAGGAAAGAAACAAGCAACGTATATCCAGATTCCTTATATTTCGATATATAATTTCCATAAAATGTTATAATAAGTTAAAATGTTACAATGAGTACCAAAAAAAAAAAAAGAAAGTTAGCGACTGAATTTGTGTAATGGATCTGTCAAAGCAGTCAATTCAAAGTTTAAGGGATTTTTAGTTTGGCAAAAAAAAAAAAAAAAAAAAAACAAAAAAAAAAAACAATTGTGGTTATTTTTTTTTTAAATACAAGGTTCACATACTTCATCCTTTTTAATCATAGATCTGATTGATGATTGAAAATATTTCAAATAACAGTTTACTATTCATTTAAGGAATCAAGATTGCTGTAAGGGAGAGAACTCTATGAGAGAGTTAAATGTAAACAGTGTAGTATTTTGACTTCCACACAAAATTCACTATAATTATACCAACAATTGTCAACAAAGCAAAAGGAGCCAAGATGATTCATCTATATGACAAATGAGGATTTTTTTTGGAAACTATTAGAAGATACCAAAAAAATTAAAATATTTATTTATTGTTTCTTAAATTACTTACTATGGTGTTGGTTTCACGCCTATGTGCGTTACTTTTGCACAACCTCTGCGTTTCTTTTCCATAAAATTCTGTTACTTTTGCACCATTCCTGCATTATTTTTTTTACATTCCTGCGTTATGGGATATACACGATGATTACAAACGTACTATAAACAACTTTTACTAGAATAGACGCTAAGTATCCCAACGTCTTGTCAGGTACTAAGCTATTTGATATATATAGTCATATTATTTCTATGATTTAGCAGACAACAATTTTAGCAGACGACAAATTTCCCAGCATGCAATGTGTTACAGCAGCAATTTTATACAGTTTCCACAATCACTTCAACACTGTATAGGGCAAGTATCTAGCTTTACTGGAGAAGGAAGACCTCAAATGCCCCCCTTGTGTTTTACAGACACAAACTGGCACTTTGTGGTTGCCTGCATCTCAACCCAGCGATCGTGGGTTTGAGCCCTAATCAGCCATATTTCCTCATATGAAATCAAATTTGATTGAGTTCCAGTAACCTCTATAAAGGTAACTGTTGCAATAACTTGTTTTATAATCGAGCTAGCCTCAGCTTAAATTTTCTTCTGTTTTTTTTTTCCAAAAAACTAAAACAACACATTTTTTTGTATTGAAATGTTAGTAGTTTATTATATCAAAACATAACGTAGATTTAAAGCATACATTAAAGGGATTTTAAACTTTGTACAATATTTCTTATTTACATTAAACAAATGCATACAACAAATATAATAATAATAAAAATAGATAAAAACATGGTGTAACATTTCTATACATAGATCAGTCAGTTAAAATTAATTTGCATAAAATATATTTTATACAAATAGTAAAAGTTTAGACAAAAACAAAATCTGCCTGTCAAAGAGAATAGCCAGCTATAAGTAACGCAAAGAAGCTTACGGAAATAAATACAAAGCCTATTTGTAAAAAGTAATTTATTTTCCCCCCAGTGTTTTTATATTTTGAGGGGGATAAATCCCCTTTTCCATTAAGCTGTTTAACCTGTTCACAAATCAGCTTACCTGGTAGTGGAACAAATCAGATGCCCCTATATTCATTTTTTATAGGGCACAAGCTGGCACCAAAGCAGATCCAGGGACCTTTCATAAGCTAGCTAGATAGTCAAGTCGCATGGAATAATTTTTAAGTCCCTAGTGGGATTCGAACCTACAGCAGTGAGAGGCCCAATGGTTAAAACACAGTTTCAATTTTAAAGTAAATCTAATTAAAGTTAAGCTAAGAAACAACCTAAAATGTCGATTTACTTAAAATTTAAATGATGTGATTTGTAAAACAAAATAAAGTAAGGTAATGTAAGGTAAAGTAAGATAAGATTGGTTTGGTCAGTGAAAAAGAGCGGGAGAGTTTAACCTCTCAAAAAGTCTAGGGGGGAAATATACATTAGATATTATGAATATTGTAAAACAATGTACATACATTTTGTATTACATGAGGTACAGAAAAGCAAATATAATATATATTTATACACAGGAAGGAAGCCTGCCTTCAACAAAAACACTTCCCATCATACAAAGGTATAATAATATATCAACCCATACCTCCCTAAATATCTTAAATGGACTTATCCTTCTTTAAATCTGGACTTAACCATTCTATCATTTTCAGGGAAAATTTCACAATAAATACTGACTATAAATAGCGGACAGAGTAGACCATGATCATGACGGCACAGTTTTAACCAGGCTACCGGCTGATCTTGGTCTGTACCGGTCACATGGTACGTTAGAGTTGGTTCCAGCAGACTGGCCTATGAAAGGGTTCAAGTATCAGAAGTTTTGTTCCTTCAATGTGACTTACTGCCGTGATCCGGCGTGAAAACTACCATCACCCAAGTATTTTGTTTTTTAAAAATTAAACGGAAAAAATCTGACAGAATCTTAAAGACATTTTCCAAGAAGAAGAAAAATCAAAACAATTTTTCCAATCACAATGTTGAAGGATTTCTCAAAGAATTTGTGTTCATACAAAGTAAAGGGAAAGATGGTCTAGTGGTTAATCTAGGTGTTTGACTCTCAATCTTGGGTCATTCAAATACAGAAACGCCTTATTGTATTGCCCAATTATTAAAGTTCAGAGCAAGAAAAAAGAACAACAGCAACACATCCAAAGCCAAACAGAATTGCTATACAATTCAATTATATAAATAAATGATATAAATCTAATTTATACATGTATTAATAAATGTCGGCTTAACATAGATTTTTTTAAATAATTTATTTCTTAATATCTTTTACTTCTAATATCAAAGGAATACCTGAGCTGCTGACAGGATCACAATTTTTTTTACTTATTCCAATTTTTTTTTATCAACAGTGACATAAAAATACAATTTTTATTACAACTTTTGACATAAAAGTATGTACATACACACATATTCACATGTTGTTCATCCCTAAATTCGAATACATTTTACATGTAACAACTCCCCTAACCTTACCCTCTCCTTCCCACTACCCACAATGCTACAACATTAAATGAAGGTCACATGCCCCATAACTACATTTCGGACATTAGACAATTCAATATAGGTCAAACATATATCAAACGTCTAATTTATGACAAGTTTTACAGCAACAGGTAAACCCCCACCCTACCCCCATATAAATATAAGTCCCCACTTCCCGCCCTATTTTAGACATTCTTCCATATGAACTACTAGTAATAGGAAAAATCTCCCATTTCAGACATCAAGTGTGCTTGAACAACTACATTTTCTTTAGAGCAAATGGGGAAGCATGAAATCATTGCTAAACAATTAATATTCATCTTAAAATAGTAACATATATTTTGTGAAGGAATTTCATGCCGGTTGAAAAACAGACATTCTAGCAACTCCATTCTGAATCAGCCATGATTCAGAAAATCATAATGTTACAATTTATAAATGTTATATTGATATTTCATTAGATATATATTAGATATATCCTTAAATATCTCTAACAAAGCTAAGCATATAAGCATAGAAACAAGTGCACAGAGAAACAAAGCCACACTACATAGGTCAAGATAATAACACTACTGGTTTAGAAAATAATACCATTAACACACAAGGCCCATAAAATTAAACTTTAGGCCGGAAAATAACACCAAAAGCTGCAAAAATAACACATATGACTGGGAAAATAACATCATAAACTGGGAAAACATCATTGGCCAGAAAATAACACCAGAGGGCATAGGCCAAAATAACATCATTTGGAAGTAAAAAGAACACCATAGGTTCAGAAAATAACATCATAAGCTTGGAAATAACACCTTAGGCTAGGAAAAATAACACCATAGGTTCAGAAAAGAAAATAACACCATAGGCTAGGAAAATAGCATCATAAGTTTAGAAATTAACACCATAGGCTAGGAAAATAACACCATAGGTTGAAAAAATAACACCAAAGGCTAGGAAAAATAACAGCACAAGTTCAGAAAATAACACCAAATGCTAGGAAAATAACACCATAAGTTCTGAAATTTACACATAAGCTCGGAAAATAACATCATAAGAGCAGACAATAAACACCATAGGCTAGGAAAGTAACACCAGAAGTTCAGAAAATAATAACATAAAATCCATAATAAACCCAGTAAATATTTACATATACATCAAGTGTGTAAGATTATTTGGTTATGTTCCATTTTAAAAATGGTATTTTTTAACATATTGTCAATACTTACGGTAAAATATATATATATATATATAACAAATTGTGCACAAAATACGGGAAGAAATAAAATACAATGATAAAACGATATTGCACTACAACAGTAACTAACATAATGTATTCAGCAGATTCAAGTATCACATTTTTGTACTTTTTCTTTAAAACTTCCATACATCAGTTTTACAGGGAAAATATGGCCACTGTTGACATAACCGGACAGTATTTACTCATGCATAAGTCGCTTTTTCTAACATCAAATTGAGAATGTAATTTTATACACCCCGTCTTATAAATGGATCACAAAAGTCCACACAAAAACATGAAACAAGAGTCAAAGCAAAATAGTGCTAAATCTAATGTGAAACATACACTCCTGACTTTATAAACGATCTGCCTTATAAGAAGCATGAAAAACATACACTTATAAATTATCTGCCTTATAAGAAGTATATTTTGTATTTTTTCTGGTGATAAAATGGATAACAATGACTTTTTACACAAAAACCGCCACTGGTCACAAAGTGTATGGCCATTTGAAATCATATTTGTTTATCAAAATATAAAATTACATCATTTAATTTCAATGCAAGTAAATACATGTAGAAGGTAAAAACCATAATGTAATAATTATTGTCATTAAAGAACACACACATTGCTTTTCAGTAATAGAGAAAATACATGTACATGCACTTTACAAATTCTGATATAAACCTCAAATACTAAAATCTAATCAATGGACTGACGTTCAATACTCAATTGATCCATGTGAAAAAATCAAAAACTGAAAAACACTTGGTTCTTTATTTGCATAAACCTTTTCAGGGTTAACATATCTCATATAAATGAAATTATGAAAGAATGAAATCTATGAGCATACAACCTTTTATCAGACTGCTGAAGTGAATTTTAACTCAATGAAAAAAGAAATGAACAGTTTTAGAGTAAAACAAAACAATGTCATTATTCAACGTACTGTATTTACCTAATAATCAGACAGGTTCTGAATTTTATGTTAAAAAATTGAAAAATTAAAGTATCTCATACCAGATGATCATTTTTGCAGCTAATTTTATTTATTTTTTGTTCCACCTATAATAAGACTACATTTATGGCATAGTTTTTGCATTAAATCATAAAGAATAAAACCTTGTCAATTATACAAGTAAATACAGTAGGCTATATTAATAAAAATACAAAAAAATCACCCTTTTAGACCTTAATTTGTCAAATATTGTCATGGTATTAAATAGTTGAGCATGAGTACTATTACTCTGGCATCAAGATTATTCATTGCAAAAAATAGAGACCAGTCTATCAATGCAGCTTTCCCATTGGTTGGTTTTAAATATGCATTTGAAAAAACAGCCAATCAGATAAGAGGAAATGCTGAATTGTGACTGGTCTTCAATTGATAACAATATGCCTAGTTAGTACACCAAAATTATTTTATGAATAATTAGAAAAAGAGATAAAGTTATCGACAGACAGTTTTAAGCAAATTTTACAGTCTCTGCAAAATTTTGAAAAATTAAACACAAGGGGGATACAAAGCGAAATCCTATTTCTAATCTTATATTAGACTATAAAAGGATAAAATATAGGACAAAAATATTTCTAAAACAATGACTCAATAAAAACAAGAAGTTATCAACTTAACAAAAGCATAAAAATTCCTAATAAGACAATGTAAAATTATGCACCCAAAAAATGAAAAAAATTGAAACATGGTTGGTCTTGATAAAATATGTAAATATATCAAAAGAAATGATAAAACATAAATTGGTCAAAACATTGCTCCAATGTTTTAATGAAACGCAACTGATTCTTTTTAAATGGTGACATTTTAATTGAAATTTCCTACAGCTGTGTTAATAAAAAATAATGAACATAATCACATTAAGCTAAATGCATTCATACTTTTACTTTCTTATAATATGTCATTTCTCTTTCAACATAGATTGTACTACACATCTCATCGTATCACAAAAAAAAAATCAAAAATATGACTTAGAGCAAACTACTGCAGATTTGTAGTAAAAAAAATAGACCGCGTCTTATAGATGGTCCGTCCTATAGACAAGTAAATATATCACTATAAACTTTATGATGAAAAATAAATATAAATTAAAAGTAATCTAGAAAAGCCTAAAAAGATACATTAATTATCTTTTTCAAAACTATTTAAAGGTTATCTTAAGATAATTTAAAACTAATTTTCTATTAAGAAATCATTCAAATGTTATTAAAAACTAATAGTAAGAAATGAACTAGCGGATAGGTAAAAAAAAAAATAAATCCAATGAAAAATGTATCATACTATATATAATCATATACAGATATAGGTGATTTTTATAGAAATTTTGATGACATGATTCGTTTAAGAATAATTTAATATATAAAATAAAAACTCTATTTAATATATACATCAACATGTATAAGACAAAGGGTCTTTCAAAAATGTAATAAACTTAGTTTACTTCAATAAAACATTCATAAAAATTAGAAAAAAAATCTTAAAAGAAAAATGTGTCCCACCCCCTCCCCACTTGTTAATAACACCTACCTATCTATCAATAATAAATGAATGTCAAGTTTATTTAATATTCATAAAAGTTCATGAATATTTATGTATATGACATAAATGTTAATATATATGTATATGGCATAAATGTTCATGAATATTTATCAATATGGCATAAATGTTCATGAATATTTATCAATATGGCATAAATGTTCATGAATATATCTATTAACATATACTTTGTCTTTGTCCCTCCCTCGTCATAACTCCCTTATCTATTTATCAATAATAAATACATGTCTGAAAATATACTAAGCTTACTGAATATTCATAAAAATTCAAGAATATGTTTAAATGTTCATGAATATTCAACAACATGTACTTTGCCATAGCCAATGTTACAGACAAGATTTTGTAATGTTGACAAAGTCAGGCAGATTAAAGTTATTATGCTTATTCACTTAAAAGGGTGTAAAGCTATAAATTAATGTAACAGACATTACAATGTAAAAATACTGTAAAATTACATAGCATAGTTTTCATACTCTTGTGATAATGTCTTAAATATAGTTTTAAAGGTGCTTAAATAATTTAATACACCAGAAGTTAAGAAACATAATTCTTTCCAAAAATGTGCTTCTGTATAATTCTTATTACAATACGATTATTTTACTGACTGCAGACAGTTCAATACTACTGCTGATAACCAAGAGTCCAATATGACTGCAGGTTACCAACAATCCAATATAGCTGCTGGTTACCAACAGTCCAATATAACTGCTTGTTACCAAGAGTCTAATATGGCTGCTGGTTACAAACAGTCCAATATTGCTGCTGGTTACCAACAGTCCAATATAACTGCTGATTACCAAAAGTCCAATATGACTGCTGGTTAAAACAGTCCAATATGGTTGCTGGTTACCAACAACCCAATATAGCAACCAATAACCAACAATCCAATATAGCTACTGATTACCAACAGTCCAATATGACTTTTCATTACTGACAGTCCAATATTGCTTTGTACCCTTTAATACACATATACACAGAGAAAATCTTAATATTAATATTTTAAATATATCCATAATTTATTGTAGCACTTCATAATAAAACATCTGTTACTTTCGGACAAAATTACTCATATACCCAAGATCTACATAGATATAGCGTTTCATAATATTTCTTTTATTACATATTGTATATAATTCTAAAGCACATTCACATGGGGCAGCTATTTCTCAACTTCAACATAACAAAATACTTTAATGTTGGCATTAGACATTGCAACAAATATAACGCAAGTTTACGAATTCATACAACCCTGTTCTTGCTGCAAAAATGTGAGGAAATAGTCGAGAAGCTATCCACCAAATTTTGACAGAAATTATCCCCCCTTTTTTCATTAAAAAAACACCTAACTATAGCACCCTAAGCATGACTTATTCATTTCATTTTAGTTGTGTCAATTTTGTTCTTATGTAAATAACAAACAACTCTTCATTTGTTCTGATGGCACGCATCACCCAGACAGAGTCTAAACTTTCATTGTCACTTCACAAAGTTTGGTGTTTCTGTAGTATCTCTGTATATACACAGTTACTTCCCTTTTATAACAAAACTTGGCTATAGCCAGTTCTCTCCCTTGGGTGTTTCTTGTAGTTTTTTCACTATATACACAAAGTTACCTCCCTTTGTAACAAAAAATGCGGGCTATGACCAGTTTTCTCCTCTTGGTGGTTTAGCCACTAAGTCTTTCAATTGTTTATGAAGGTCACTAAAGATTATTCGCGTAGACGGGTTGCCATCCCAACATTTTAACATTAACTGATATAAACTGTCTGGACAACTGGCTGGAGCCTGCATCCTGTACCCTGGAATAGTAAAACCATATAAAATTATATTTATAAACATCGTAACAACCATATAACAGGATTACATTTATATAATACATGTACATAATAAAAACTACAAAATTATGGTGGCTGATTTGTGCAATTCATGTTTTCACCCCCCGAGACCCCACCCTGAGACCCAGCCAAGGGAAAAGTCTGGAGCGAAACACGCTTCTTAGCAATGGCGCGTGGCGAAGTTTAATTAATTAATTAGGCAGAAGTGCAGAACAAAGGCGCGGAACGGGAACACACTAATAAGCAGGGGTGTGGGGCAAAGTTTAATAGATAAATCTCTTTGTCCTGATTCCCCGCTTATTGCATGTTTTAGCTTTAGCTCAGCATCCCCGCCTTTTTATTTCTTAAATCTTGCTCCGCACCCCCCCCCCCCCGCCGAGGCGAGGTGTTATCAATTAAACTTCCTTTCAGGCCCCTGCCATTTTAACTTGTTAATTTTCGACTTTTTACTTGGCACAAATCAGCCACACACGTCACAAAGCTTTGGGTGGACAAGTGGGCCATAAGAAGTGTGACAAGCAAGTTGGTCCCTATACTTATTTTCGTCTGGCATTTTTTACCTCTATGTGTGACCTTGATCTTGGTTGCAGGGACCTGAATTTTATGTGTGACACTTAGCCTCACAATGATGAAAATTTGTGCCAAGTTATATTAATATTCCTCAATGCATGGAGAAGCTTTGATCCATACAAGCATTTTTCAATGACCTCTGAGTGTGACCTCGACCATTTTCCTTGTTCATGTGAGGGACACAGCTTTTCATAGTGGTGAACATTTCAATGAAATTTAAAAACAAGAGGGCCATGATGGCCCTGAGGAGGGCCATGATGGCCCTGAGGTCGCTCACCTTTATATAGGCCCCCCAACCCCCACACCCCCCAACGTTGCAGGGCCAATTTAACCCAAGGGCTTTTATTTGCACAAACTTGGTAGACACCCATAAGAAGATGTTTCATGCTAAACATCTAAGCTCTAGCTTATTGGGCTTTTGAAAGAAATTTTTTTTAAAGTTTTACTATACAAATATAGTTAAAAACAATGACACCCCTGGGGCCGGGCCAGTTTTGACCCCAGGGCTTTTATTTGAACAAACTTTGTAGACACTTACTAGAAGATGTTTCATGCTTAATATCTAAACTCTAGCTATTTGGGTTTTTTCAAAGAAGATTTTAAGTTTTTGCTATACACATATAAAGCAAATCAATGACCCCCGGGGCGGGGCCAATTTTGACCCCAGGTCTTTTATTTGAATAAACTTTGTAGACACTCACTAAAAGATGTTTCATGCTTAATATCTTAACTCTAGCTATTTGGGTTTTTTCAAAGAAGATTTTTTAAGTTTTTGCTATACACATATAAGGAAAATCAATGACCCCCTGGGGCGGTGCCAATTTTGACCCCAGGGCTTTTATTTGAACAAACTTTGTAGACACCTATTAGAACATGTTTGATGCTAAATATCTTAGCCATAGCTCTTTGAGTTCTTTAAAAGAAGATTTTGTAAGTTTTTACTATATGCATATAGGGAAAATCAATGACCCCCCGGGGCGGGGCCAATTTTGACCCCAGGGCTTTTATTTGAATAAACTTGGTAGACACTTATTAGAACATGTTTCATGCTAAATATCTTAGCTCTAACTCTTTTGGTTCTTTAAAAGAAGATTTTTTAAGTTTTTACTATATGCATAAAGGGAAAATCAATGACCCCGGGGCGGGGCCAATTTTGACCCCAGGGCTTTTATTTAAACAAACTTGGAAGACACCCATTAGAACATGTTTCATGCTAAATATCTTAGCTCTAGCCCTTTGGGTTCTTTAAAAGAGGATTTTTTAAGTTTTTACTATATGCATATAGGGAAAATCAATGACCCCCCCTGGGCAGAGCCAATTTTGACCCCAGGGCATTTATTTGAACAAACTTGGTAGACACTCACTAGAAGATGTTTCATGCCAAATATCTAAGCTTTAGCTCTTATGGTTTTTTACAAGGAGATATTTAAAGTTTTTTTTTTCGGTTGCCATGGCAACCAGAGTTCTGCATGGAATTAAATTCTTTGAACAATTTTTAAAGGTGACCACCAAAGGAACATTCCTGTGAAGTTTGGATGAAATTGGCTTAGTGGTTTATGAGGAGATGTCATTTAAAGTAAAAGTTTACGGCCGGACGGACGGACGCCGGACGAAAAGGGATCACAAAAGCTCACCCTGTCACTTTGTGACAGGTGAGCTAAAAAAATCTTCCATAGGTGTAGGAGATATGCTCCAGACAAAAAAGGACACAGCCCGTCTGCCAGGGACGTTCCCATAATGCATTTCAAATAGGCATACAAAAATCCTTATATTATAATTATAAACATAAAAATATAATATTCATATACATTTTACATATTAAAAACGTTTATGTTAATAATATTACATTATATATTCACATACATTTTGAAAACAAATTATATGTATCTAATGATTCTAAATTTTATGTTTTATGGCTCTTGGCCCTCATAGGAGCTCCTTTTATTTATATAACAGACTTTTTTTTACATCTAAAATTTCATGTTTAATCTTATAACATCAAGTATATGGTAAATTATAATGCACAATAGGTCAAGTTTAAAACCGCCATCCTGTAACAAAGAAGTATAAACCAAACATCCTTTAACATAAATTTTATACCTACCACCTTGTTACATCAAATTTAAACCTAGTTTACTGTTACGATAAGTTTAAACCCAACATTATGTAGACATAAAATGTAAACCTACCACCTTGTTACATCAAGTTTAAACCTACATGTAGTTTTCTGTTATAATAAGTTTAAACCCAACATCCCGTAACATAACATTGATACCAACCACCTTGTCACATCAAGTTTATGTTGACCAATAATTGACAGCGAAAATATTTTTAAGATAATACTAGCATATAGAAATTTATTTAAATATAAATAGACTGCCTGCCCACTTCAGTCATCAAATTTAGCACTGGCCCCGTGGCCCATGGCCAGTGAAAATTAGTTCGGGCCAGTGTAAATTTTAAGAAAATTTAGTTAAATATATAGTACAAAAAATTCAAAACTGATATTCGGGCCAGTAAATTCAAATTCTTAAATTCAATGACTGCCACTTATTTTATTAATACAATGTTACTGGTATATTCTGAAAGATATTTTAATATAGAATTTTTAAGGCAAGTCACATGACTTATTGATTACACCGATTCTTAGCAAGCAACCAGTACAAACAAAGATCAGATGATCTGTCCATACCAATTGAGAATGGTCTGCACTATTCGCAATCCAATAGGTGCTTATTTTAAAATTTCCAGTAAAAATGATGACTGTTTTTGTCGAGAATGGCAACTTAACAGTTAATATAATCTATTTGGTATAAAATATAAAATGTGGTAAATGTTAAAATCAAACATGATTAGCTGGTTTAATACAAGCATTTGTTATAAGCAGAATAAAATCCGCTACAGCTTAATTATTTATAGAAAATGGTTAAGAACTGGTTAAAACCGGTTAATCATTAAAGAAGGGTATACAATATATCAGTCAATTATAATCCTGGCTCCCCAAACCCATGGGAAAAAGTGGGGACTTTGACTTTTGGATAATCAAACACTTTGTGAACACACCACCTTGTCAGGACAGTCAAAATACATGTTTTGTTTGTTTGTTTCATTTTACGCCTTTTTCCGACAGTATTTCAGTCATATAGGCAGGTAGTTTCCTAACCATCGTTCCTGGAGAGTTACACCAGTACTAGACTACCTTCCTCCGCGCTAAACTACCAAAGCATCTCCCGGGGATCGAACCCACACCAGAGAGGTGACTGGATTAGAAGTCATCAACTCTAACCCCTCGGCCACGGAGGCGGTCTCAAAATACATGTAGTTCAATCCAACTAAATGCCCTACATTGCCATTTTTTTTACATTTTTTTTAACTTTATGTCAAATCCCTTTTTGGCACCTAGATAAAACGCTTGACAGTCACACTGGATGGCTATTTCCTGGTTTTCCTTAACAGGAAATTGCAAGAGTAGGGATCTAGAAAGCAAAAGGAGAATCTCACATATGGTGGGCTTGGAACCCATGACTTCTGTATAAGGATTCCAATGCTGTTCCCCTATGCCAATCTGTCTACTGCATATTTTTTAAATCAAAACAAAATCATTGTGTTGTCCTGACAGTGCAGGACAAACTAAAGGGGCAAAGTCACCACATTGTCCCAACAGTGCGGGACAAACTTAAAGTACAAAGTTGATCATTGTCCCCAATCTCCCCCAAGGGGTGCGGTAACTGGGTGGGAGGAGTTACAAATCCCCCAAGGGGTGCGGTAACTGGGGGGGGGTAACTTAGTTACAACTGACTGGTGCGTTATAAAAGGTAAAGAGTGACAAGCTTGTTATAAGAAAACCTGTAAGGAGTGGTGAAGAAATAAAATAAGTCCCGTTTTATTAGGTGGAGAATGTATACATGAAGTGTTAAATGAGTAAATACTATGATTATATAGGCGGTGAAATAACATTTCTATACGCAACTTTATATTTGTATGTACTATAATAAATAAAGTGCTAGGAGTAGCTGGCTGTGCACACGCGGACCGACAAACCTGTATCTACTTGTTCCCTAGTTTCCGTGTTATTCATGCCAGGGTAAGGTGTTTTCCCGTCGGAAAAGATTTCCCACATGAGAATTCCGAAACTCCATACGTCACATGACGTGGTGTACCTGCCTACAAGATTAATACACACACAATATATATATATATATAAATAACTCTACACAGCATGCTTCGGTTACCTTGCTCCACACTCTCACGGGCTATTGCATTCGTCCATCCTGGGTACGGCGTTTGACCGTTACTAAAAATCTCCCACATCAATATACCGAAACTCCATACGTCACATGCCGTCGTATACTTTCCTAAAATAGCATTAGTAACAAAACTGTTTACATTACATATAAACAAAAACAAAAAGGAAGTATTGCTTTTTTTATTTTTGTTTGGTAAAATTTGAAATCATACCAACACTGTAACAGGTCAATGGCAACAGAATGTCTGTCAATTATTTCAGACACAAACAGGCAAATAAGTAGAACCAACCCATTATTTCAGACACAAACAGGCAAATAAGTAGAATCAACCCATTATTTCAGACACAAACAGGCAAATAAGTAGAACCAACCCTGTTCTGCAAGTAACCAGATTACTTTCCTCATATTAATCAAAAAAATCTAAAGATTTGAACCAATGACATTGACTTCAACCCCTCAACACACAACAAATTTCCACTGAATTTCGTGAAAAGAACGTGCCCAACTTCCATATTAAGGTCTGCCCATTATTAATTTTGGGGACTTCAAGATGAAAAATTAAGTTAGTCAACCACATAGTTGAGTCTGGTTAGACTGCCCTATTTCACTACCCTTTTCACATTAAGATTATTAGTATTATTTTAAAGAAAGTGGCATATATAAGTTTCTGCTGGCAACAATAAACAAACTTTTCATCATGCATAACTTAACGTACCAAAGTTAAGGGCAACAATAAACAAATTTTCATCATACCTAACTTAACGTACCAAAGTTAAGGGTAACAATAAACAAACTTTTCATTATGCGTAACTTAACGTACCAAAATTAAGGGCAACAATAAACAAACTTTCATTATGCCTAACTTAACGTACCAAAGTTAAGGGTAACAATAAACAAACTTTCATTATGCGTAACTTAACGTACCAAAGTTAAGGGTAACAATAAACAAACATTTCCTTGTGCGTAACTTAACGTACCAAAGTTAAGGGTAACAATAAACAAACTTTTCATTATGCGTAACTTAACGTACCAAAGTTAAGGGCAACAATAAACAAACTTTTCATTATGCGTAACTTAACGTACCAAAGTTCAGGGTAACAAAAAACAAACTTTCATTATGCGTAACTTAACGTACCAAAGTTAAGGGTAACAATAAACAAACTTTCATTATGCGTAACTTAACGTACCAAAGTTAAGGGCAACAATATACAAATTTTTCATCATGCGTAACTTAACGTACCAAAGTTAAGGGCAACAATAAACAAACTTTTCATTATGCGTAACTTAACGTACCAAAGTTAAGGGCAACAATAAACAAATTTTCATCATGCGTAACTTTACATACCAAAGTTAAAGGCAACAATAAACAAACTTTTCATAATGCGTAACTTTACGTACCAAAGTTAAGGGCCTCCGGGGCCGTCCATTTAATCGGTATCTGTTTCATGCCGTCCGATACGGTGTATTCCTCTTCCTCTCTGGACATACCGAAGTCCGATATCTTCACCACATGATTATCCCCGACCAGACAGTTTCGTGCCGCTAAATCCCTGTATACATTATACATCAAAATATTATTACTGTCCCCTGTTTTAAAAGGGTATTGTCCGTAAGGTAGATATTTTTATTTATATCATAAAACATGTTAAGTCTTACTGTTCTACTGGTGTTTGAGGCGAAGCTAACATCATTTGAATAATACGATATGAAACATATGTAACTGTGCATATGAAAATATCTGTCTTTGGAACATGTATCAAGCTATAAAAGGATGTTTCTAAAATAGGAAGAATATTTTTTTGTTATTTTTGATTGTTTGTTTTGTCTTTTTCAATAAAAAAATAATCATAGAAAAGTAAGTAAATTAAATGTGTATCTAACAGTTGCAGGTTATTTACTGAAAAAGATTTGAATCATTTGGCCTACTGTAATTTCAATTACCTGATCACAAACCAGTTCATACCTGTGAATACACCCTTTATCAGAGAGGTAGGCCATTCCACATGCTGCGTCTACGCACATTTGAGCAGCTTTTAACCTTGACTGCTTCTTTCCTTCTTTCCGTAAAAATGATAACAAAGCCCCTCCTGCAATATAAGTCATTCTCTTTTAAAAATTACATTTCGAACAAAATTTGAAAGAAACATAAAATACCATCATATCCAAATCTGTTAGATTTTATTTTTTTTATTGAGATTTACGTTGTGCCAATACAGTATAGGTCATATAAAGACTTTCCAACCTTATACTGGTGGAGAAAGACCTCAGGTGCCCCTTCTCTTTGTTATTTCACGCACAAACAGGCACCTGAGTAAAACCACCGATGTTCCATAAGTTAGCTTAAAAGATTTCCCACATGAAAGAATCCAAAGACACTTGTGTGGCTCAAACCAACAGTTGTGAGAGGCAAGTGGATTGAAGTCAATGACCTTAATAACTCATTACTCGGCCATGGACACTGACCTCCTCCCCCCCCCCAACCCTGCTCTCCCCCAAATCTGTTTAAAGACAAGATATGTTTGTAAAACATGTATGCCCCCTATCAGCAGCCAATTAGTCATGTGATAAGGTAATTATGCATGACTTCTGACCCAGTGATCAAACAATTAATAAGGGTTATCAAGTATCTACTGGTCATGACCTTAACCTTTGACCCCTTGACCCAAAACTCAATAGGGGTCATCTGCTGGTCACGACCAATCATCATACAAAGTTTGAAGTTTCTAGGCCTAAGCGTTTTTAGTTAATTGATCGGAAACCGTTTTTACCTACAAAGTCAATGTGACCTTGACCTTTGACCCCTTGACCCCAAAATCAATAGGTCATCTGCTGGTCATGACCAATCACCATACCAAGTTTGAAGTTCCTAGGCCTAAGGGTTCTTTAGTTATTGATCGGAAACCGTTTTAACATACAAGGTCAATGTGACCTTGACCTTTGACCCCAAAATCAATAGGGGTCATCTGCTGGTCATGACCAATCACCATGCCAAGTTTGAAGTTCCTAGGCCGAAGCGTTCTTTAGTTATTGATCAGAAACCGTTTTTACTTACAATGTCAATGTGACCTTGACCTTTGACCCCTTGATCCCAAAATCAATAGGGGTAATCTGCTGGTCATGACAAATCACCATACCAAGTTTGAAGTTCCTAGGCCTAAGCGTTCTTAAGTTATTGATCAGAAACCGTTTTTACTTACAAGGTCAATGTGACCTTGACCTTTGACCCCTTGACCCCAAAATCAATAGGGGTCATCTACTGATCATGACCAATCACCATACCAAGTTTGAAGTTCCTAGGCCTTAAGGTTCTTTAGTTATTGATCGGAAACCGTTTTTGCTTACAAGGTCAATGTGACCTTGACCTTTGACCCCTTGACCCCAAAATCAATAGGGGTCATCTACTGGTCATGACCAATCACCATACCAAGTTTGAAGTTCCTAGGCCTAAGGGTTCTTTAGTTATCACTCGGAAACCATTTGATCTACGGACCGACAAGTGCAAAGCAATATACCCCCTTTTTTCGAAATGGGGGCATAATAATAAAGTTATAACAACATACTTGAATTTTGAAATTTAAGTATAACTAGATTCTATACCATTGGTTTCTAAATGTCAGAGAGAAACTAGAAATGTGTCATCATGCCACGGATGCCCCCGCATGCAGCCAAAATTTCAGATGTTATAATATTTAGTTCCAAATTTGTTTGCACAAACTAGAACTGCCACTATCATGGCGTGAATACCCCCGCATACCACTTTGTCAGAATCAACAGTGGCCATTTAGAGCTCAAGGACAACCTCCCTGCCAAATCTGAGGTTACTAAGCCAGTGCATTGCTAAGTTATGTATTCTACATGCTTCAAATGTGAAAATGTCAAAATCAATACATTGCGGACAGGACATTCTTTAGCAATTGAGAAGAAAAGCTTTTTTTGTCAAGGTCCCTGTGACCTTGACCTTTGACCCAGTGACCTCAAAATCAATAGGGGTCACCTTATAGTCATGATCAACATCCATACCAAATATGAAGACTGTGGGTCAAAGGAATCTTTAAGTTAATGGTGGACAAACTTTTTGAAGTCAAAGTCCCTATGACCTTGACCTTTGATCCAGTGACCTCAAAATCAAAAGGGGTCATCTACTAATCATGATCAACATCCATGTCAAATATGACGACTGTAGGTCAAAGGAATCTTAAGTTATTGGGCAGACAAAGTTTTTGAAGTCAAAGTCCCTGTGACCTTGACCTTTGACCTGGTGACCTCAAAATCAATAGAGGTCATCTACTGATCATGACTAACCTCCATGCCAAATATGGCGACTGTAGGTCAAAGGAATCTTAAGTTATTGGGCGGACAAGCTTTTTAAAGTCAAGGCCCCTGTGACCTTGACCTTTGACCTGGTGACCTCAAAATCAATAGGGGTCATCTACTAATCATGACTAACCTCCATGCCAAATATAAAGACTAAGGGTCAAAGGAATCTTAAGTTATTGGGCGGACAAGCTTTTTGAAGTCAAGGCCCTGTGACCTTGACCTTTGACCTAGTGACCTCAAAATCAATAGGGGTCATCTACTAATCATGACTAACCTCCATGCCAAATATGAAGACTAAGGGTCAAAGGAATCTTAAGTTATTGGGCAGACAAGCTTTTTGAAGTCAAGGCCCCTGTGACCTTGACCTTTGACCTAGTGACCTCAAAATCAATAGGGGTCATCTACTAATCATGACTAACATCCATGCCAAATATGAAGACTAAGGGTCAAAGGAATCTTAAGTTATTGGGCGGACAAGCTTTTTGAAGTCAAGGCCCCTGTGACCTTGACCTTTGACCTAGTGACCTCAAAATCAATAGGGGTCATCTACTTATCATGACTAACCTCCATGCCAAATATGACGACTGTAGGTCAAAGGAATCTTAAGTTATTGGGCGGACAAGCTTTTTGAAGTCAAGGCCCCTGTGACCTTGACCTTTGACCTAGTGACCTCAAAATCAATAGGGGTCATCTACTAATCATGACTAACCTTCATGCCAAATATGAAGACTAAGGGTCAAAGGAATCTTAAGTTATTGGGCGGACAAGCTTTTTGAAGTCAAGGCCCCTGTGACCTTGACCTTTGACCTAGTGACCTCAAAATCAATAGGGGTCATCTACTTATCATGACTAACCTCCATGCCAAATATGAAGACTAAGGGTCAAAGGAATCTTAAGTTATTGGGCGGACAAGAAAAAACCGACGGCCGGACGGACGGCCGGACGGACGGCCGGACGGACAAGCTGATTCCAGTATACCCCCCTTACAACTTTGTTGTGCGGGGGTATAATTATTGTTTTCATTTAAAGTTCAAAGCCCTTAAAACTTTTCAATGTTAACACAAACCATTTCCATACAATGTTCAAGGCACTGAAATTATTCAGTCTTAACCTTTTGAAAATAGCATATTTCATATTTGTAGCCAAAATAATGGCTACATACATTTCCACAAAAGTATGAGTGCTGAAACTGAAAGTTCAAAATTTTTCCAATATTCAAGAAAGATTATGAAGTTTGTCCAAAATCATTGAACCACGACCAAATTCAAACTTAAACTGCTTATTCCTAAGATGTATCTATATTATTTTCAAAGTGAAAGGGGCATAACTCTGCCAAAAAAATCATTGAACCATGACCAAATTCCAACTTGACCTGCCCATTCCTTTGACATATCCATATGTCAAATTTGAGTTGAATATGTAACACTGTTGGGTAGATAATGAACAGAAACTGTAAATTTCATATTAATTTCAAAGTGAAAGGGGCATTACACAACCAAAAATCATTGAACAATGAACAAATTCGAACTCGGCCTGGGCATTCCAAAAACATATCCATATGTCAAATTTGAGTTGAATGTGTTGTACTGTTGGGGAGATAATAAACAGAAACTGAAAATTTCATATTATTTTCAAAGTAAAAGGAGCATAACTCTGCCAAAAATCATCGAACCATGACAAAATTTGAACTTGACCTGTATTTTCTCATGACATATCCATATGTCAAATTTGAGTTGAAAATGTTGTACCGTTGGGGAGATAATGAACGGAAACTGAAAATTTCATATTATTTTCAAAGTAAAAGGGGCATAACTCTACCAAAAATCATCGAACCATGACCAAATTCAAACTTGACCTGTATTTTCTCATGACATATCCATATGTCAAATTTGAGTTGAATGTGTTGTACCGTTGGGGAGATAATGAACGGAAACTGAAAATTTCATATTATTTTCAAAGTAAAAGGGGCATAACTCTGCCAAAAATCATCGAACCATGACCAAATTCGAACTTGACCTGTATTTTCTCATGACATATCCATATGTCAAATTTGAGTCGAATATGTGCAACCGTTACTAAGATAATGAACGGAAACTGATGATGACGGAATGACAGAATGACGGAATGACGGAAGGACGGAACAGGGTAACACTATATGCCCCGGCCATTACATGGCGGGGGCATAAAAAAAACAAAACTGAAAATCTCAACATTTACTGGAGGGCAGTTCCTATTCCAAAACTGGACAGGGAAAATTACACAAATTTGTTGGAGCACAGCCCTTAAGAACTCTTTCCTGTGGAGTTACTTCCCTTAAATTTTGGGAAAAAATTATATGATATTTTTGCAAATGGGGCGGAAAAAACTTGACGTAAATGAAATTTTGAGGAAAACTGCATGATTTTAAAGTATTTTGCATAAGGGAAAAAGGGAAGACGCGAGAAATTTTCGTCTGCATTACTTACTGGAAACATATTCCATAATTATCATTTTACTCGGGAGAAGGCGCCAGAAATTGTCGCCAGCTATAGCAGCGGAAAAAACGGGTTAACATAACTTACCGGAAACATATTCCATAATTATCATCACAGGTTGTCTTTGAGCAGCAATACCTATAAACTTGACTATATTAGGGTGATCGTACTGTTTTAATATACGGCCTTCCATCAGGAACTTCTTTCTTTGTTCTTCTGACAACGTATCCTTACACGTCTTCACTGCTACAACCTCACTGGTTCGTTTGTACACACCTTTAAACACCTCGCCAAAATTGCCCTAAAATACAATATCAGGCTTAGTGATGTTTATATGAAAATATTGTTGTTGCGAACAATCATGTAGTTTATGGTATCAGATGTACTTTTAGAAAATATTTATGATTTTACGTTAATTCGATTTACTCCGTTTCACATTCCTTTATAATTTTGAATGATTTTCATGAGCGTGTATGGTATATAAGGGGGTATATGTGTAAATGCTTCACTCAAGGTCTGTATTTGGCAGAATATATTATAAATTTGTTGAAATGACAGAAGAAAGCATACATCTTATGGTCCCATCCACCCTATTTATATTCTGTTTTATTTTTACACAGTCTTTTCTTAGTTTCAGATATTTTCAGTTGATTTCACCATGACTACGTCGAAATTCTAGACAGACCTCATTCCAGCAGATGTTTCTTGCAATAGACTAGAGCAATGTTTGTTCTTGAAATGTTTTAATTCTGTCAAAAACGACCTACACCTATAATGCTTCTTGTTGTTGTTTAGAAGTATTTGAGGATAGAAAATACCGTAAAATTCCTAATAAACACCCCTCCCCTAATAAAAGCTCCCAAAGGCTTTTTGAAATGGAAAAAAAATCTGCTCATCAGTGGTGAACTCTTTAATAAATCCGTAATTTTATTCAAATCCTTCAGAATCCATTTTATTTCATATTAAGCACAAAAATGTATCACATGAACTTTAAAATCAACACATTTTAATGTTATTACCTACACTTGTTAACACTAAGTGTATTTTAAATGATTTTTGGATTAAGGAAAAAATGTGTTGTATTAATAGCACCCCTTTTGGGAAATGTTTAGCCCCAGGAGCGTTTAATAGGAATTTTACGGTAATTGATTTACTCAGGGTTTAGTGAGTAGCAGCTATTTTAACATTGGTTTAGAATTTTGATGCAAAGAAATTGACCTTGAACGCTGTATTAAGAATTTTTTTTATGTTCTGGGTCATTAGATTGACTGACTTTTGTTTATATGGTCACTTTAATATGTCGAAGATGACCTTAGGTGCCCTTCATTTTATTCAATGGAATAACCCTTTAAATGATAAAAATTTAAATTTCCCTGAAATTTTATAAAATAGCTTTAAATATTTCAACAACATTTATTACTTATATACAAAAAGGTTTGCGATTTTGAAAATGGACTGTTTTTAAAAACACACAAATTAGACACTGTATGACTTTATGATGACTGGACTTTCTTCTCAGTCTCTTTACTGTTTCTCAGTTCTTTTATATATTTGTTAATACAAGCAATTATCATAGTATTGCAAGCAATCCATAAGTCCCCTACCGGTAAGAGCCCAAGCAACATTCTGAAGGGCCATTGGCCATTCACTTATGTTCCTATTTTAAGTAAATTTGTTGAAAAAGTTCTTTAAAAGTGATCACAGGAAACAGTTTTTATGTACAGACAGACGGACTGAAGGACACTCTAAAGTTATTTTTTAAACATCCCTGTTATCAAAATATAACATTTTTAAAATCCTATCATGATTGAAGAAGTTGGAGTAAAAATTACCAATTCCTCAAAAAAAAAATCCAAGTTCAAAAGGGGCATAATTCTGGAAATAGTCTTGCTAGAGTATTGAACACTCACAAATGTTGAGTGATAATAAGAAACATTTATATGAAGTTTGAAGTAGATACATTCAGAAAAAGAAGTTATTAAAAAAAAAAAACATTGTTTTTTCATGAAAATTTTAAGTTCAAGGGAGGTAATTCTGATAAATTTTGTGCTAGAGTTGTAAACCTTGTCACATATGATGTGGTTGATTACAAGCAACTTATATTTAAAGTTTGAAGAAAATACCTTAAGAAATAAAGAACTTATAGTGAAAAAACTTAAAAACTAGAATCAGAAATCTTGAAATTCAGTCTATTTGTTGCCATAGCAACCAGAATTTTCAACATAGGAAGATAAGAAAAGAATGTGCATAATTTCCATACTGCCATATACCCATATGTCAAGTTTCATAAACATATTTTCAGTACTTTTTGTGTTATCACTGGATCCAGGTTATGTGTAAAATTTGCCATATTTTCAGTATATTTGTTGCCATAGCAACCAGAATTTTCAACATAGGAAGAAAAGAAAAAGATGTGCATAATCTCCATACTGCCATCTATCCATATATCAAGTTTCATAAAAATATTTTCAGTACTTTTTGCGTTATTGCGGGATCCAGGTTATGTGTAAAATTTGCCATATTTTCAGTCTATTTGTTGCCATAGCAACCAGAATTTTCAACATAGGAAGAAAAGAAAAAGACGTGCATAATCTCCATACTGCCATCTATCCATATATCAAGTTTCATTAAAATATTTTCAGTACTTTTTGTGTTATCGCGGGATCCAGTTTTGTGGACGGACGGACTGACGGACGGACAGACGGACGGAGGGTAAACCTAAAGTCCCCTCCGGTAAACCGGTAGGGGACTAAAAATCCCTTAAACTTCAAATGGACTGTTCCAAATTCAAAAGCCGGTCAAATCCATTTCATAAAATGAACAAGTTTAGGGGATGGTTTACTCACATTTCCGATTTTTGTTTCAAGCACTATATCATCGTTGTTCAGTTCCCAGGATTCCCGGAGTATCGGTTTCGACAGAATGGTTCCTGATTTATTAGTGACTGGTTGACCACTGTGGTACTGATGATTTACAAGCTCTGGAATTGTGGGATATGTGCTGCCTTCGAACCTCCAACCGCCCTGTAATATATCATAGAATAGAGTTATTATTATTTTATTCAACATTTGCCCTGTAATATATTATAGAATAGAGTCATTATCATTTCATTCAAACTTTGCCCTGTAATATATTATAGAATAGAGTCATTATCATTTTATTCCACCTTCGCCCTGTAATATATTATAGAATAGAGTCATTATCATTTTATTCAACATTTGCCCTGTAATATATTATAGAATAGAGTCATTATCATTTTATTCAAACTTTGCCCTGTAATATATTATAGAATAGAGTCATTATCATTTTATTCCACCTTCGCTCTGTAATATATTATAGAATAAAGTCATTATCATTTTATTCCACCTTTGCCCTGTAATATATTATAAAATAGAGTCATTATCATTTTATTCCACCTTCGCCCTGTAATATATTATAGAATAGAGTCATTATCATTTTATTCAACATTTGCCCTGCAATATATTACAGAATAGAAATATCATTTTATGCAACCTTTGCCCTGTAATATAGTATAGAATAGAGTCATTATCATTTTATTCAACCTTTATCCTGTAATGTATTATAGAATAGAGTTATTATCATTATATTCAACCTTTGCCCTTTCTTGCATGTCAGACTGGCGTTTCCGTGAGTTTTACCCATGCTGGAAATTTCATCTGGCATGGGGGGTGCCAGATGAGTCGTGTGCCAAACAACAACGTCATTTTAGCGCACTTTATGAATGAACCACGTTAAAATGACGTCATTTTAGAAGGGAAATATGTGCTTAGGATGATGTCATTTCTCAGTTGTTATTTAAGTTGTAAGTTAATTCGCTATTGTTAGAAAATAGTTATGGATGAAATAACTTTAATTTCCATGAACATATATCATCTTGAGGTAAACCATTTTAAATATGAAATAATATGGCAGAATATGCAAGAAAAAATATCTGACATGTGTTTGCAGTTCAAAACAGAATATCCATCGCTCGGGTACCCTCCAATGGGCGGGCCCCCTCGGGACGGATATTTCGGTCCGAACCACAACATATGACAGATATTATTAGTAATATATTATAGAAAATAGTCATTATCATTTTATTCAAACTACCCTGTAAAATATACAATTATTGACTAGTGAGCCATTATTTAGGATGTGATATTCGCCAGCAGATGACATATTATAGCCTCGGGCAATATGATTTTCTGCCGGTGAATAACACATCATATAATTCAATGTCTCACAAGTAAATAATTTCTTTATTATATGAACAGGCTAAGCTTAAACATAAACTGTAATATTTGTCTTTTTCTACTATGTTTTCAAAGCATATTTCTATTAGAAAGAAAAACAGAAAGTAAATACTACAAAAACTCTTTAAAAACTCTTTAGAATTTGAATCATTTAAAGAAGAACAAAAAAAGACCTATAGTCTGTACATAGGTTTACACACCTATACATATCAGTACAATGTTGAGTGCATTTATGGTAATTTATAAATGAAACATTGAGAATTACTGATGAAATAACTTCCAGTAACTTTATATTTTTCATGGATTAATATTTTTAATGTTTAGCACAAACCTATGTGTTATTTATATAATAGTTTCTGCCATTAATTCATTTTCTCAACATCTAGAATTATTGATGACATAACAACACTTCCTGTAACAGTACTTTCCTTGGGTAATATTTTTACTGCTACCTACACGCCTAAGCTTTATTTTTATATGACAGACGGACCTTTTGCTATGGTCCAATTCATTTTCACAATATCTAGAAATATTGATGCAATAATGCTTCCAGTTACAGTATTTTCCTTAGGATAATATTTTTAATGTTACCACCCATATAACAGGCCAATTTCCTTTAATTCATTTTCACAACATTGAGAAATATTTATGATATGACACTTCCAGCAATATTGTTACCCACAAGCCTATGTGTTAATTCTTATGCTTTATCAGAGTAGGCCCACTTTCCTTGGTCCAATCCCCTTCCTATAATTTTCACTGTGCTTTAATATGCCTTTTACAGGCAGCCAAATATAAATGGAATTACGATAAATTCAGCTTTACTATGAATTATGAATAGAACAAATGGGCATATATATGTTGTAAATATAACAAAATATCCGAGTTTTATTGTAAGCAAAATATTAAAATAATGTTTCAAATATTAATAACTTTCATTATATTATAACAAATATGTAACCAGATTTTATTTTTAATGTAAGAATATTAAGAAATCAACAAAAGTATCTGTTCCTATTACCTCCCTTTATTTTAAATGAAAAAGGAACAAACTAATGTTCCTGTTACCTCCCTTTGTTTTACAACTCGGCTATTAATTTACTGACATCTGATTATGACAAATGATTTTATGCTTTAAACAGTATTAACTTGTCATTGATTCAAAACTTCAAACAAATTTAATTTTTACAACATACAAAATCTCCAAAGTGAGCCTTAAACAGGCAGCCACAATTAATTAAGAATAATTGAAATTACCTACAATACTACTAAAAACTTATATATGTAAATATAATAAAAAAATAGTTTTACTGTAAGCAAAATATTAAAAAAAAATTACAATTATTGTTCAGTTTAATACTGATATTCAAAAAATACAGCCAGATTTTTTTTTTAATGTTAGAATGCCAAAAAATTAACATTAGTACTTCTTTTTATTGCAAGTAAGACATCTAGACCCCTTGACTTCTCGACCCCTTAGGATATTAAGATGACATCTAGACCCCTTGACTCTTAGACCCCTTGTAAGATGACTTTTCGACCCCTACTGACTAAGACATTTCGACCCCTGTTTTAAATGTTGGGCTTTAAAAGACCCGTCTGAAATATCGGTTGCAAAATTTACATTTTTAAAATTTAATTTTGGTGATTAATAAACAAATCACAGTTTTCATTTGTTTAATTACTAATTAAAATCGGATTAAAGTCCCGTGATTTAATGTAATGATGCTAATTTATAATTTCGTCATTAGCGCATTAAGTAATAACTATTTTTTTTATTAATAATAACTAGAAATTTGTAAACTTCAGTTTATTGTTTTGTAAGCCATAATAATGTTACATTGGCAATGAACGTTTATACTAAATGAAATATTGAATTGTGTGTAATAGTTTACGGAAATGTAATTATTGACTGCGTAATAAGTAACGGAAGCTGACGCCCATATTTATCAAAATAAAAAAACTATAAGTAATTGTAGGTAAATGTGATAGTTAAAGATATATTTATTGACTTTATCTGTCAGATATTTACAAAAAATATATATGACTCACTACAAAAACAATTAAAATTCGTTTTTGCAACGGTGAAAAATAGATTGAGCGTGCTTCAAACTGTATCCAAAAACCAAAAAAATTAATTAAATAATAAAGGATTTATTTTTGATACACATTTAATCGCTTTCATACATATTTTGACTACAAAAAATGAAAATGACTTTAACAGGGCTGGGAATCAAAAATGCGTCGTATCCTACAAAATGTAAACAAACGCCGCCATCTTGGAACGAAAAACGCATGTTTTTGTTTATAACTCTTTTTGTTGGAAATGACTGAAAAACAGATATATGTATTAACACGCTACACTATTTTCCGCTTCGTTCGGTATATGTTGCTTGCACAATTATTTTGTAAAACAAAAGTTATAGCGAACTTGCAACTCGAAGCGGAGTGAAAATGTGTGGATACGACGCAGTTCATATTGCTTTATACATCGTTTTTTCCTTCAAATCAATCAATTTTGTAGGATACGACGCAGTTTTGATTCCCAGCCCTGTTTAATTAGTTATCATCATACATCTCCGGTGTGCTGGTTTAACGTCATACATGTATGTGTTTAATCAGTGACACGTGATAGGATAAACACCGGCGCGTGCCGTTAAATAATCAAATTATCGGTCATACATGTATGTGTTTATTCAGTGACACGTAATAGGATTAACGCCGGCGGCGCGTGTCGATACTAATTAAATTATCGGTCATTAGAAATAAACATGTATTATCAATAAAAACATGACTTTAGTATAGTATAGGTAAAAGTTTATTAGTACGTATTTACAAAATTAAATTGGTCGCGCGGCTGCGCGTACTAATAAATTTTAACCGGCTTAGTGTTTTAAATTAATTTTTATTAACAATCCATTTACTAGACCGATTAACAGTTTATCGGGTTACCAAAGTAAATGTGTTACAATTTGAAATACTACAATCCTATTGGACAAAAAATAATTTCAAACACATTTTAAAAAAAAAAATTGTTATAAGATGAAACATTTGTATTTTGCAGGTATCAGTAGAATCGATTATTACAATGCACGTAAACGTTTAAGCGTCGTACAGATCACTTGTAGTATTTGCAGTGACGCTCCTTCAGATCAAGCAACGCCTGATCATGACAATTCCGTTGATCATTCAATTTTGGAAGCCGCTGCTTTTCGTAGTATGTCTCGTTTGCGGAAGCAAGACTACATTGCTGTTAGCATATCAATCATTTATTTTTCCTAATATGAATGAAATTTACTTGAATTGAATTTAACTAAATTGCAGTTCATCATATTTCAGTATATCAATATAAATATTTTATAATACAGGTATTGGAGACTGTTCGTACCAACAACGATACAGAGGGTATGCAATATTCTTGTTATCTTGTTAATATAAAAAAAACGAGTTAATAAGTAATAAGTAAAATAACATTTTAATTTTAATACAGATAATGTCGTCAATATAAATTCTTAATAAAACGCTCATGAAGTTGTTTGTGAGGAATTCCTTCTAGAAATAGGGTCGATTTACGGAAACTTTTAGACAAGGAAATGTGTAATTGGAAAAAGATTATAGAAGCTGTATAGCAATAAAACGTACAAAAATACAGTTTCAAAAGTGTATTTATTGTAAATATTGTAGTAATTGCATGCATGTATATAAAGATAGTGATAGTGTCTGCGTATTCTATGTATTGTTATATCAATGTAATGTGCGTACATGTA